TGGGGAAGGGGAGGGAATGCATTTAAAAAAAGAAAAAGAAAATTGCTACAACCACAGCCTTTCTTGTATAAGTAGGTGGATCACAAACAGGCCTAGGGAGGTGATAATTCTCCTCTATGTGACACTGGTCAGGCCACAGCTGGAGCGCTGCGTCCAGTTTTGGGCACTGTACTTCAGGAGGGATGTGGATGGCCTGGAGAGGGTTCAGAGGAGGGCCACTCATCTGCTTAAAGGCCTACAGAAAAAACCTTATGTGGACTGATTGGGAAACCTGAACTTCTTCAGCTTCTGCAAGAGGAGGCTGAGAGGTGATCTTGTGGCTGCCTACAAGCTCATCCAGGGGCCCAGCAAGAAATAGGGGGTACAATGTTTACCAGGGCACCTGTCAGGGTAACTAGAAATAATGGCCACAAACTGAAAGAGAGCAAATTCAGATTGGCCATCAGCAGCACACATTCCTGCCCAGGGCAGGGGGGTGGACTCAATGATCTACTAGGTCCCTTCTGACCCTAACATCTATGAAACTATGAGACAGCTTTTCCCATTTTGCATTACTTTGCATTAGTTGCTTCATATAGACTCTCTACCACTCACACAGAAGTCCTGTTAAGCATGGGCGGTAATGTACTGTTTTGAAACTACCTGGTGATTCCAACCTTTTCCAGGTTGAAGTGAATTGTAGCAGCAACTGAAAGCTTTAACTCTTCCTTTCTAAACAGCTTTTTCTTTTTCCTTCCAGTGGATGTGTTATTGGACCCACATTTCATTTCAGTGTACCATTCCTAAATTTTGGTGATGTCTCTTTTGGTGAGTATACACCATCCCCAGTTGCTAAGTTAAGTAAGACCTACAATGGTATTAAAATAAAAATTTTAGTGGAAGAGCATCTATTACATTTGTTACTTTGCAACAGACTTTGGGGTATAAAAATTAGGTTTGTGCGAAGCTTCGGATGCTGAGTCGATTCAGAGGAGATTCAGCCCCAGTCAGTGACCAAATCTCCAAATCCAAATCGAATCAGGGGACCAATAAAAAGGTCCAAATTGATATGAAGCTCTCCAAATCTTTGGAAAAGATTCGAAGAGCTTCAGTGATTCGGACAATCCCCACCCACTGCAGCATGGAGCTGGACCTGGACTTGGAGCCGGTATGTAG